CTCTTGTTGCAAAGAATACAACTGAGTAGCAGAGGTTTGCCCAAATCTTTCTTCTAAATCTTTCCAGATCTCATAAGCAGTCTTATAAAACCATACACTCTTTGCAATCTTCTTATCTAAGGAGAATAACAACCAACCAACTACTAGATCATTACACCTTTGCCACGCATTAGCAGTACGATCTGTATTAGGAGGCTGAGGTACAGATCCATCTATGAAACCTAATTTGTTTCTAGATGAAATTCCAAGCATCATCGTTCTCTTCCAATTATTATAACCAGATCCGTCAAACAAATCATTCACCAATTTTGTGTTTGAATTGTCTGAAGGATGAATGTAAAACACACTACCAAGCACAGTTGTAGGATCAACAAAACTTCCAGCAGCCATTTTCTACTTAAAAGACTCAAGAACAAATCGATTTCAATTCGAAAAACACAAGCAAGCAGATAAATCGATTCAAGAAGATCAATATCAACAATCAACCACCAGAATCATTCAAAAAACAAGCAATCAACAACAAATTGAAGCAATCGATCAATTTTACAGAATCAACAACCAATTCTTCAAGAAAATTCTGTAAGAAGAGCGAACAAGTACCTCAATGATAATCACAAGGATTCCACAAAAATGCGGAGCGAAAAACAAGCACAATCACCAGATCTGCTGCTCTGATACCATGAGAAAATGCAACAACAGAGTAGTAGAATCCAGCTTAAAGCTCAAGCTATCACCATTAATGGAGGAGAAGAACAAAGAGTATTCTCAGCTTCAATGAATGCCGAGTTATTACAATATCAGAAAATGAATTAATTTCCAGCTAACTAATAATAGGCCTATTTATACTAGAGGTTGTTACAACCATATAACCAATTAATGCTCCTATGCCGATTGTATAAAGCTATAACATAATTTGTTATAACTGAACAGGCTGAGCTGGCAACTGAATAGGCTGAGCTGACAGTCCATCATGCTCAATATTTATTAGCAACTTCGTATTATCAATTACGGAGTAATTAGTAAAACTTTAGTAGTATGAAGCATTTAGAAGCAATACAAAAGGTTTCTCCTGGACAAAGAGAGAAAACGAAGGTAAAAAGTGAAAAGGAGAGAACATCACATCCCTATGTCATGAGAGGATCAGAACTAAGTATCCATATTGTCGATGTGGCTCCCATTAACAAGCAAAACTAGACCACTAAGTAATCGTTAAATATTGCATCAAATAATCCAAATATTTCTTGAAACATAAGTAAGAAATTTGATTGACTACATAAATTTGACATGGGCCCATTATTTCAATTATTCGGACTTTATGTCTATTGTAGGATGGGCCCATAAACTTGATTGGGTTTGAAAACGTTGAATCTGCTATTTTCTTGCTTTACTCACCTTTATGATTTACTTAGTTGGGAAGGTAGTATTAGTCAATAGTCATGCTTTAGTTATTAAGTTACACGCTATTTTATACTTGTTCCGTTTCTTTTTAGTTGATATGTTTCTTTAGTCACGTTTGTCAATGCACAACTTAAATCATTTATATTGTAAAAATTATGAAAAATTGATATTTTGAAAATATATATCATGACGAATCTAACAAGATCCCACGTGACTATATTTTTCATTATGTATAAAGCACAAAATACGGTCAAAGGAGAGTGTGTGAATAGTAATAAAGTCAAACCGTGTCAACTAAAAAAACGGAGGTAGTATATTATTAAGATGAATTGCTTTAGTGTCCTTTCAAATAATTCTAGTACAATGACTAAAACCTATCCACGGATCTCTTACTACTTGATAAGGTTTGATCCATGATTTTTGTGATGGAAAACGAGGTAGCTACCTAATGAGCTACCATCAATCTTACATTAAGAAAAGGACTAGCATATACTTCATTCTTCCTCTGTTCTTTTTTACTTGACCTGTTTCTTTTATCACGCTTGCCAATGCAAAACTTTAACGGTTAATAACTTTAATTCCCCCTAATTAAAAAATATAAAAGTTATATATTATGATAGTACTTATTGAGACGAATTCAAAATGATCCAACATAAATATGTGTTTCCTTACGTATTATTCACAAAATACGGTCAAAGGAGGAGTGGTAAATAGTGTAAAAGTCAAAGCGGGTCAAGTAAAAAAGAACGGAGGAAGTATATGCTAACGTACACGTGTTTTACAATGATATACTTAACTACTAGTAACAAAACATCCACGTATCACCTAAACATCATGTATGCAGTTTTATAAAATGAAGGGAGTATCTATATATTTATGTATGTATGTTTTATATTCGCTTTCATTAATTTGATGTATGCATACATTTAAGAGACTATCCTATGAATGAACTACAATAATGGTATGAGCAATGAGCTAGGGGAAAGTAAAAACATGTATATTTTTGTCCAATTTTTCCAATCACAAAATCCATGATTAAAATCCGATTCAGTTTTACCTAACATAGTAAATTTTATTTTATTTTTGGTCAAAGGGAATATAGTAATATTCATTCTTTTGGATACACGGTTAACTGGATTAAAATTGGATGTCCCAATCCAATTTTAAGTTTAAATGTGATATGTAGGTGCAATTGGATATAGTATAAAAGAAATTGAACTCCAGATCTTTAGTATTGTTGATTACTTGATGATTCGGCCCAAGCTCGAATATTCGTGCCTTTTATTGGCCCAAGCCTGACTTGATAAACTTGATTTAGGCTTGTCAAGAAGCCCAACTACACCCCAACTCACGGCCCACATATTCACATTTATAAGTTTTTTTTTTTTTTTTTTTTTTTTTTTTTTTTTTTTTTTTTTTTTATAAATTTTTCCCCCATATATATCACCTTTTATTTATTTTTATTTTTATTTTTATTTTTGAGGAAAACCCACATATATCACATACATTACAAATTACAATCTTCAATTCATCTTTCAAAAAAAAAAAAATAAAAAAAAATCTTCAATTCAGTTATTTTTCCAACTTGACCAACTATACCATTTACAAAAATAAAAAAAGCAAAAAACAAAAATTGCAATTTACACTCTTACTATATAATACAATACTTTGTAAATCATTTGTATTTATTACTTTTTGATAATTGTTATAATTTGATTTTCATACTCTATAAATGGGTTGAATCAACCATGGGTTAAATCAACCATCGAAGAGTTGGTAAAGGTATCAAAGTTAAATAATTTTGTTTTTAAAGGTTATAATTTACGGTGTTCAATTTAATTTTATATTTTATGAAGTTTTATACAAAGAGGTTAAATTAGAAGTGACAAATTTTAAATAATTTCTAAATTTCATAGCAAAGGATACCATTAATGAGTCAACATGTAAATATAATTTTGAGTTGATTTTTTATTGTAACACTCAGACTTTCTAACCGTGTTAATCAATATATAAAGAGAAGAACAAATTTATTTATTTTTGATGTAAAGAGAAGAACAAACTTTTGTGAACGTTTTTTTTTTTTTTTTTTTTTTTTTTTTTTTTTTTTTCTTTTTGACACAAAACTTTTGTGAACGTTACAACCTATGACTTTATGAGTATTATTATTACGTTAGTATCAACACTACACTTGACCACTCAAGCATGTAGTTGTAGACATGATTAATTATAAGCTTAAGCTTTAGTCTAAATTAAGTCATCATGTCACACTTTTAGTAATTCTTGATTAAGGATATCATTTTCTTTTACAACCCTAATTTAACTTATTGTACCTAATATTAAAACGATCTTGCTAACGAGCGCCCTGGGGCGTTAAATAATGATAAATTATATTGGTTGAAATAGTATTAAGTTAGGAATTTATGACAAAATCACACGTCGTTCGGTGTAATTAATGTTAATTTTACTTTAATATTTACACTTTAATTCTCTTATCTAACGCCCCGGGGGCGCTCATTAGCTTTTGCCATATTAAAATCTGCCGAATATTTCCATCAAATGAAATTTTTTAATAAATAAACAGCCGAATGTAAATGAATTAGGGTTAAACATCTTTATATAGTAGTTTAATCAACAAAAATAATGATAATTTGTGTTAATAAAGTTTAAACTATGTCATAACCTCATCAACTAAATAACATATTATTGTTATATAAATAGTGCTTCACCACTACTCACGCACATAGGTCCCTCAACTCTTAACACAGCTTTGTGACAGCTTTTGATCCTCTAGCTAATTAAAGATCACAGTACATCAAATTTCATGCTAAATAAATTCAGCATAATTTATAATCATATTAGTATACAACTAGCTAATTAAATAAGAGCCATTTTTTCTTTAAACCATAGTTTTTTTTTTTAATTGTTTTGTTTCTTAATATAATTTTTTACAAGCTAAGCTAGCTAAATGAGCAAGGTAACACAGCAACCCGAGAAACAGACCGAGATTCCGTTACCACCAGGGAGCGACATGGAGGACGGCGGAGCTAAGGAGAGGCCGGAGTCACACTTCCGGGGATTATCCGATGTTCAAAAATGGAGGAAGGAGGATTGGATGAAAAAGGGAGTGTTGGTTTTGGTTTTAAGGGCATTAGCTTTGCTATTTTCTTTCCTCTCTTTCATCATTATGGTTGTTATCCCTAATTTCCAATTAAGTGAGCCTAACAGGTAATTTCCCTCTAAAAACACGCCTTGTGTGTTAAACTTTGATTAATAATATTCTCGAGAAAATTGTACTGCTGTATTATATATAGTTGTTAGGTATATCATCGTCTGGCCAATAGAGGGCAGCGCATATTCTCATTGCCTTAAAAAAGTTTTAGGCATGGGCTAATATAAAGGTTGATCAGGTTCAATCATGCGTTAAAGTAAGGTGAAATCAAGGATAATTTTATTGATGAATTTACAAAAATGCCACTAGATAAACGTGTTTCTGTTTATCATGAACATGAACTTGTATTTTCTCTGATAATTGCAAGTAAAATAACGTATCCTTGATGATGTACATTCATTTGGTGTATTAGTTACAACTTCAATTCATTATCTTTTGTTTTATGGCACAGTTATGTGTTTTCCATAGCACTGATTACAATGGTGTACACGGCCATACAAGTTGGTATAAAAGGTCATGAACTTCGCACCGAAAAGGATATCATTTCACCAGATGTCGTGGTTTGGATTGACTTTATTGGAGATCAGGTCAGCCTAAAAATTCCTATTTAATTTACTACCTCCGTTTCTTATTACGTGCAACAAAGGGGTATTATTTGTGAGACATAAAATATTTATTTGTTGCACATAATAAGAAACGGAGGTAGTATTTTGTTTCAAATCCCATCAATAATAGAAAGTGTACAATCCAAAGTTTTGGTGCAAATGCCTAGATTTGTAAAATTATGTCGAATATCCTCTATGCATTTTTTATTTTAATAGCAACATTTAAAATTTAACACCAGTTATGCTTAATATTTCTAATTTCTAATATAAACATTGTCGCGAACAAAGAGAATGAATCGATTGAGGAAAAACTTGCTAATAATTAAGGAATATTTCTATGTAGGTCATGACATACATGCTACTATCATCAGCATCAACTGGTGCCATGAGTACAAACTTAGCAAGGAATATGGGATACGTAAATCCAATCGTAGAGAAAGAATCGACAGCGGTCGCCATGGCTTTTCTAGCGTTCTTCTCTCTTGCATCAGCTTCCCTCATTTCAGGATACCATTTGTTCACTGAGTTATCTAGATCTTAATTCTTAAGTAAATAATAATTAACTCGATCACACATAAATACATCATTGTAACTTAACATTGATCAAGTTTTTCCTGTTTTTTGTCCTTATTTTTCTTCTTGTTCTTTCTTCATTTCATCTAAAGGATTTAATTAGTTTGTTGGGTTAATTGATTTAATTTCCTCCAAAAAGTGGAAATATCTCTTGAATGTTCATTATTGCCACAGGGTGTATGACTTGATCAATTTCAATCATTTAATTCAATTTTTCTAGTCGGTATTGTATATGGATTATGGATATATATTGCATGCATTACGGTGTGTGACTAATCATGATTTTATATTCAACTCTATTGAGATATATCACATCTTCGTGTGATTTGGTAGAATATTTAGCATATTTTCCATATATTTATCTAGTCTATTTTAGTTAATTACCTAAGATCCTACGTTATCTTTTGATACGAGGACTAGGAATTTATAACGATTATATATTCCCAATTGCGATTAATGAGAAGGCAAACAATTATCTTTCTAATTCTTCATGGTATCAAGAGCGGGTTAATTTTTTCTCTAAAATATACTCATGGCTGGAGACGATACTCCAGCGTCGCCACCACCACCGCCACCAACCAAAATTGAACCCAATTCTCCATACTTTCTGGGTCCTCAAGACAGACCCGGAGACTACATTACTTCTACTCGACTCAAAGGCGACAACTACGATGAGTGGGCTGCCGACATTCAGACTTCCCTTGAGGCACGTCGCAAATTCGAATTTCTCGATGGCACGATTACAGTGCCTCAATCACCATGTACGAAATCAGACTGGATGGCCATCAATGCTATGTTGATTTCCTAGCTTTCGAATACAGTTGCTCCAGAGGCAAAATCCTCCCTTTCCAAATTCAGAGAAGTAAAACCTTTTTGGGATCATCTCCAAAAACGTTTTGCTCAGACAAACGGACCCCGAATTCAGCAGCTTCGGTCCTCAATCGCGAAGTGTGAACAGAGCAAGACTATGGCAGTTTCGGTATACTACGACAAATTACACGCCCTATGGAAAGAACTCGATCGTCATGAACCTCTGATTTCCTGCTCATGTTGCTCCAATTGTATGGCAGGTAGGCTTCATGAACAATGCCGCGATCAATCCCGTTTACACGATTTTCTGATGGGTTTGTATTCGGATTATTATGCTTCTCTCCGATCAAATATTTTGTACCAAGACCCCTTACCCAGCCTTGACAGAGCGTATCAACTTGTGGTGCAAGATGAACGGGTGCGCAATGCTAGGAAGGAGCAGGAGGCCACTCCCACCGAGGCAGTCGGTTTCGCACTTCGGGCAAATTCAGGTGGAAGGCGTGGCTCTGTTTGCTCTCACTGTAAAAAGCAGGGGCATGAATTTTCTAATTGTCGATTTAAGGCTCCATGTCCTCATTGCAAGAAAAAGGGGTATGAACCGAATCGGTGCTTTGAAGTGGTCGGGTATCCTCCGGGCTGGACAGCAGGGCCGAGAGAAGGCTAGGCTGGTCAAGGCAAGGGGGGGGGGGGTGCGCGCCAATGTAGAAGCAGTAGTGGAGTCTTCCGCAGCTCCTTCCTCGTCTCAAGCTTTCACCGCCGAGCAATGGAACGCTCTTTCAGGCTTTATTGGTAATGCTAATATTCCTGATAATCGCCTCCATGGTAAGTTTGATTATTCTTGTTGGATTATTGATACCGGAGCGACTCATCACGTTACCGGTAATCAATCTTGGTTATTTGACACTCATTATATTGAATGTCCCGTTAGATTGCCAAACGATGAAAGTGTGCTTGCTACTTTGGAAGGATCGGTCAAATCATCCGATCAAATTACTATAACTAGAGTTCTTTATGTGCCGTATCTTAATTGCAATTTGCTTTCTGTAACTCAACTTAGTGATCAATTAAATGTTGTTGTTCAATTTAACTCATATATGTGTGCTATACAAGACCGACTGAAGCAGCTGATTGGAACGGGAATTAGCTAGGCGAGACGGACTATATAATTTCTTTGGCAAACCGGATGTGGTGCAACGTGTGTCTGTGGTTGAAGCGTCGTCAGATTTGGAGCTTTGGCAAAGACGAATGGGGCATCCTTCGAAAAAACTAGTTAAGTTGCTTCTGCATATTAGCAATAATAAGAGTAGTTTAAATAAAGGTTGTGAAGTGTGTTTTCGTGCTAAACAACCTAGAGACAAATTTCCCTTGAGTGAAAATAAAACTTCTAGAATTTTTGAGAAAGTACATTGTGATCTATGGGGTCCATATCGACATGTTTCGTCGTGTGGAGCTCGTTAATTTTTAACCATTGTTGATGGTTATTCAAGAGCTGTGTGGATTTATTTATTGATTGATAAAACCGAGGTTTTTTAGATGTTTATGGCTTTTGTTGCTATGGTTGAAAGGAAATTTAATCAAACAATTAAAATTGTTCAAAGTAATAATGGAACCGAATTTAATTGCTTAATTGATTTTTTTATTGCTACTGCCATTATTTTCCAAACCTCTTGTGTGGGAACCCCTCAACAATATAGGAGAGTTGAACGAAAACATAAACATATTCTTAATGTCGGGAGAGCCTTGAGATTTCAAGCCAAATTGCCTATTTCTTTTTGGGGTGAATGTGTGTTGGCCGCCGCTCACTTAATAAACCAAACCCCTACACCTAGTATTCAAAATAAAACCCCATTCGAAATCCTTTTCAATTCATAAACCTCCTTCTTTTGATGCTATTCGAACCTTTGGATGCTTGTGTTTTGCCCATAATCAAAAGACTAAGGGGGATAAATTTGCTAGTAGAAATCGCAAGTGTGTATTTTTGGGGTATCTGTTTGGAAAGAAGGGTTGGCGATTATATGATCTTGACACTAGAGAATTTTTTGTGTCTCGTGATGTCAAATTTGTGGAAGATGTGTTTCCTTTTGGGTGTCCGAATGACATTAATATTGATGTGAGTATGCATGATATGTCGGAAGATGTTCATAGTGATTCTGCGGCATTTTTTGTGGGTGAAGAAGTGTATGAAGACGATGAGGCAGCTAACTCCGCAACCCCCTTGTGGCATGATGATGCTGGCCAGAGGGAGGCTGCAGAGTCCCCTGCCCAGCACGCATCACAACAGCAGCAAACTGCTGGCCATGATGCGCATGCACCACAGCAGTAGCAAACTACTGGCCATGATGCGCACGCACCACAACAGCTGCTGCTGACTTGACGCTGCCTCGGCTTCAAGCAATGCCTAGCCACAACAACACACAGATCAGTGCAGCAGCACCGAGCCACAGCCTCACACTGATGCTCCTAGCACCACTCCTCACGCACTCCAGAAGCAGCCTTTGGGGCGTGGATTTCGGGACAAAATCCCGTCTGTTTTGCTCCGAGATTATGTCACACACTCGGTTTTCGCCAATAGTCCGTATCCGTATTCCAATCAGTCTTCAGGTACTCAGTATCCCTTAGCACATTATATACATTGTGACAATTTTTCTATGAGTTATCGAAAGTTTATTTCAGCGGTTGTTCAAACCAAAGATCCGACAAGTTTCAAAGAAGCTATGCAACCTGAAGGATGGAGTAAGTCAATGAATGAAGAAATTCAGGCCTTAGATAACAATGGTACATGGACTTTGGAGCCTCTTCCCCCGGGTAAAAAGGCTCTAGGAAGTCAATAGGTCTATAAGACCAAGTTTCTTTCTAATGGAGAGGTTGAGCGCCTCAAATCTTGTTTGGTGGTATATGGGAATCATCCAATAAAAGGTGTAGATTATGATGAGACATTTTCTTTGGTTGTTAAGATGACAACCGTTCGTACTATTCTTGCTATTGCGGCCGACAAGAATTGGGAAATTCATCAAATGGACGTTCACAATGCATTTCTTCATGGTGACTTAGATGAAAAAGTCTACATGAAATTACCTCCCGGTTTTCAGAGTTCGGATCTTTCATTGGTTTACAGATTGAAGAAGTCACTCTATGGTTTGTATCAAGCACCTCGGTGTTGGTTTGCTAAACTTACCACAGCCTTAAAACAGTATGGTTTCAAACAATCTTACTCTGATTATTCTTTATTCACTCATACTACTCGTGATACTCATATTACAGTTTTAGTGTATGTAGATGATTTGATTATTTCTGGGAACGATTCCACTGCATTGACTGTTTTTAAGGCCTATTTATGTGACTGTTTTAAGACGAAGGATCTAGGTCCTTTGAAATATTTTTTGGGGATTGAAGTGGCTCGTAGCTCTGTAGGTTTATTCTTATGTCAGCAAAAATATACTCTGGATATTATTTCTGAGACAGGTTTATTAGGCGCAAAGCCTAGTGGTTTAATTTTCCAATGGAGCAAAATCACAAATTGGGATTGGCCACCGGCGAATTTCTTTCTGATCTAGAGTCTTATAGACGGCTTGTTGGTCACCTGATTTATCTTACTGTCACACGCCCTGACTTTGCGTATTCGGTTCATATTTTGTCTTAGTTTATGCAGCAACCTCGTAGTGAACACTGGGATGCTGCAATGAGGGTGGTTCGATACTTGAAAAGGACTCTTGGACAAGGTATTTTATTGAGCTCTGATTGTGATTTGACTCTGCAGGGTTGGTGATGTGTCTATTTTATATAGTATTTTACCCCCGTCCCATGGTCATAATTAGTAGTGTTTTTGGCTCTTTAGAGCCACTTTTATTACTAATTGGTGTTTTCTAGTGTTTTCGTAGATTTGGTTGACTTTTGCAGGTATTTACGCTTTTGGAGTATTTTCCAGACATATTTTGGAGCAATCACGAGCATTGGAGAAGCATGACCAGTTTTTATAGTCCAGGGTCGGTTAGAGTCATCGAACCGGTGATTAAGGGCTCGGTATTTGTGATACCGGGGCATTTGGACCGAGTATTCAAGACCGAAAGAGGAAACCCAGTTTGGCCCGAAGAGTTGGAGTCAATTGTAGTCCAAATAGTGGCCCAAGAGAGCCGCCCGACCAAAGAGGCTGGCGCCCGGAGGCGCGCCTGACCGGGCGGAAGAAGCTAAGGTCGGCGCCCGGTGACGCGCCCGGCCGGGCGCGAGATTTCACTTGAAGAACAAAAAGGCGCGCCCGATCGGGCGGTGCCTCGCCCGATCGGGCGCGTGTAATTATTAGGAGACGATTAGCGTCGTTTTAGTTTGTTTTAGTTTAGGATTTGTACGGAGTATAACTACTCCCCCGTAATACGTTTTTACTATCTCTCTCTCTTTCTTTACTCTCACTTTACTCTCTTAATTGTTTTCTTAGATTTATTTCTCTAAAACCTTTGTTCTTAATCTACTCTTAATTC